AAGCCTAAAGATGAGGAAACCCATGCACCACTCCTCAAAAAGCTGGGAATGAAGCCACCTGCATTTACCATGGTCATGCCCTGCCGTGGGATCGCTCTCCTTGTTTCCAAAAGCATGTGGCCCAGGAGGCCCTTCTCCATCCTGTGAAAGTTTATCTGTCTCTCTCCTGTGTACAACCCCTTTATGTGCGCGCTCTGCCCTGGCTGCAGAATTGCGCTGGCAATGGCTCAGAGATTGTGTTCACTTAGCAGCCTTCCTCTACAGCAAACCCGTACCCCACTCACTTTTCATATATATCCACCCCAGGACTGATTTAAAGTGTTCCTCAGAGCATGACTCTTCTGCTAAACTTTGCACAGCAGCTACTTTTAGAGAAATAATAAAACCCTCCAATGGCTTCTCACAGTGTTTAGAGTCAAACTGCTTATCTTGGCTTACCAATTCCTCAACAGTATGACCCCTATGCACTTCCAGCAAGAGATCCAGCAGTCCAGACGTGAGCTCTGTAAGCAGATGCTCAAGGCCATGTTCTGCTTCTGTCCCTTAAGAGCTTGGAAACCTTGACTGTGGGCAAGTGACTGCCCTCTCCTGGCCTCCATCACCTCCTCTACAAAGGCAAATTTGTTGTGAGGATTAAGTTGGTTGACACTCAGCTAACTTAGGGCACTCAAATTGTTCCTCCCTGCCCTGTAGGAGTCACACAGTTTTGGGGAGACCCCCACCTTTACTCTGCCCTCTGACACGACTGGCTCCTTATGGTCACGCAGGAGCCAATACCCTGTCTTTGGAGACTGTTCCCCTCTCATCACCCTGTTTTATTGCCTCTAGAGCCTGTACTAGTTTTCTAGGGCTGCTATAACAAAGTAATGCACACTGGCTGGTTTTAACAATGCTATGCTGGAGGCTAGAAGCCAATGTCAAGGTATCAATAGTTGGTTTCTTCTGAGGACTGTGAGGAAGAATCTGCTCCCTGCCTCTTTTCCAGCTTCTTGTGGTTGAGCAGCAATCCTTGGTGTTCCTTGTCTTATAGACCCTCACCCCAGCCTCTGCCTTCATATACACATGGTACTGTCCTTGTGTATCTGTGTCCAAATGTCCCTTTTTTAAAAGAACTCCAATCATGTTGGATTAGGATCCCATCCTACTCCAGCATGAAAGAACCCATCCTAAGGAAAACAGTAGTCTTGTTTTTATTTAAGCCACAATTTTGAGGCATTGGGAGTTAGGATTCAACATATGAATTTGAGGGAGAGACATCATCCACCAATAATATAGCCCTTATGTTCATTTGTTGACAGATGTATTTTGTCTCTCCTCACCAAACATCAGCTCCAGGAAAGCAGGACCAGGGATATCTTATTTACCCCAGCAACTGATGCCCAAGTCTGGCTGTCACAGAGAAGACTCTTTTGCACATTTTCTTGAATAAATGAATGAAATAAAGCCAAGACAACAAGTCAGTTTTCTGAGTAAGAATACTAGTGAAGCCAGAATTACGAAGTGACTATGCAGTTATTTAAAATAGTTCCATTGAATGGATAAAAAAAATGTGGCATTTATACACAATGGAGTATTACTCTGCATTAAAAAATGACAAAATCATAGAATTTACAGGGAAATGGATGGCATTAGAGCAGATTATGCTAAGTGAAGCTAGCCAATCCCTAAAAAACAAATGCCAAATGTCTTCTTTGATATAAGGAGAGTAACTAAGAACAGAGTAGGGTCGAAGAGCATGAGAAGAAGATTAACATTAAACAGGGATGAGAGGTGGGAGGGAAAGGGAGAGAGAAGGGAAAATGCATGGAAATGGAAGGAGATCCTCAGAGTTATACAAAAGTACATACAAGAGGAAGTGAGGGGTAGGGGAAAAATAATACAAGGGGGACAAACGAATGTCAGTAGAGGGGGCAGAGAGAGAAGAGGGGAGGGGAGGGGAGGGGAGGGGGGATAGTAGAGGATAGGAAAGGCAGCAGAATACAACAGACACTAGTATGGCAATATGTAAATCAATGGATGTGAAACTGATGTGATTCTGCAATCTGTATATGGGGTAAAAATGGGAGCTCATAACCCACTTGAATCAAATTGTGAAATATGATATATCAAGAACTATGTAATGTTTTGAACAGCCAACAATAAAAAATTAAAAAATAAATAAATAAATAAAATAGTTCCATAACCATAGAGTTGAGAAAACATTCTAGCATACTGTCAAGCAAAACAAGAAAGTTTTAAGTCATAATAAGTGGTATAATCCTACTTATAAAGTGCACATTCACACATATATCCATACAAATAGATGCTTACACATATTTTTTGCAGAAAAGGGTCTAAAAGAAAATACACCATGGGCTTATGGGCCGATGCTAGTTGTAGTACTTTATTTACTCATTTTTTATTATTTATACTGTCTCGCTTGTCTGCAACAGGCATGCAATGCTTCCGTAATCAGAAAAATAACAAAAGACAAGCCTCTCAGAAAAAAAAACAAATAAGGCTTCTCATTTGCAGGATGAAGCAGGTGGGCATCATCTACCATCCCAGACTAACAGTTCACCAGCAAATCAAGCACAAGCACCATGTTTGGCAGTTAACAAATGCTCAGTTCATGCTGAATGAGTTGAAACTAAATAGAGAGGTTCACTCTTTTCCCCACAAGACTACAACTAAAGCAGTTCTAGAAGCCTCTTTGGTATATTGGTGGAAGAAGAGGAGGTGCAGGGGGAGATTGGGGGCAAGGAGGAGAAGGGGAAATGCGGACACTCTAGGCTCCAGGAGGAAATGAAACCAGAAGGGCTGTCACCCAACCCCTGTGAACCAAACTGCCGCACACACCTGATTTTCCTAATTAAATAGTGTTTGCAAAGTCTTCAGAAACAGATAAGTGCTACATTAAGTGCTCAGTAGTATTAATTAATAATAGTAGATTATGTAAGCAGGTACTTATTATACATGTAAATGTCTACGCTTAACAGTATAGTACTTGGAATCAATGTTTAGCTAGACAGCAAGATTTTATAAGTAAGATTATAGAATCTTACTTATAAAGTCTCTGGCTTCCAAGGAAAGTAGCTTCATAAAATATTTGTGTTTTCTAATTTGACAAAATTTTAGAAATCACCTAAAACCATAGTTCTCAACTCTATCGGACCAAGCATCCTTTTGTATAATATAAATATAAATATAATATAAATATTTTGTCCTCTGTAGTATACTGAAGTGGAATTCATGGATAACCTGCCCATATCCAACATATTTCAGTATGTAAATTTCCACGGCATATCCAAGTGAAGTTGTCAGATGCTTGCAAAATATGAAGAATCACTGCAAATGTGCCAGTTCCAAATGACAGGCTGTTACAGGGGTGTGAATGACATACACAAACCATGAGTGGCACTGCGTGGAGTGTTGTTTTTCCGAAATGGTGGGCAATTCTTCTTAAGTTCTAAAGTACACAAATTACGACTTTCCTTTGATTTATCCTATAGTTACTTTCATTTTTGTATGGACGCAATATCTTTATTTTTTTTCCATCTATTTCTCTTTTTTTTAATTTTTTATTGTTGGTTGTTCAAAACATTACATATTTCTTGATATATCATATTTCACACTTTGATTCAAGTGGGTTATGAACTCCCATTTTTACCCCATATACAGATTGCAGAATCACATCAGTTACACATCCATTGATTTACATATTGCCATAATAGTGTCTGTTGTATTCTGCTGCCTTTCCTATCCTCTACCATCCCCCCTCCCCTCCCCTCCCCTCCCCTCTTCTCTCTCTACCCCCTCTACTGTCATTCATTTCTCCCCCTTGTATTATTTTTCCCTTTCCCCTCACTTCCTCTTGTATGTACTTTTGTATAACCCTGAGGGTCTCCTTCCATTTCCACGCAATTTCCCTTCTCTCTCCCTTTCCCTCCCACCTCTCATCCCTGTTTAATGTTAATCTTCTCATGCTCTTCGTCCCTACTCTGTTCTTAGTTACTCTCCTTATATCAAAGAAGACATTTGGCATTTGTTTTTTAGGGATTGGCTAGCTTCACTTAGCATAATCTGCTCTAATGCCATCCATTTCCCGCAATATCTTTATTTTATTTATTTATTTTTATGAGGTGCTGAGGATCAAACCCAGTGCCTCCCACGTGCTAGGCAAGTGCTCTACCAGCGAGCCACAACCCCAAGCCCTGTAGTTACCTTCCTGGAGAATTCAATGTAGTTGCATATTAAAACAATCCAACATTGTTCTAGCCTTAGATCATCATTACCAGGTTGCTCATCTATAGGAATGTCAGGCAAGATATTTGAAAGCTGTGTGATGGGACACTGTCCTACAAATTTACTGTCTCTGCCCCAGCCCCAAATGCCAGGAGGTACTCTATGCCACCCTAATCTTCAAGAGCAAAAAGCACCCAAGGAATTTTTCATTTTATTTGAAATCCAAGTTCAAAATGACCCCATGGGTGGCATAACCCCTCTCGAGAATCATAGGTCTCATTCTACATCCTTGTGTAAAAAATAAAAGTATCATGACCCCCACAGAGCCTGCCAAAGAATCGTAGGTGAAGTCTTGGCAGAGCCAAGAAAGAAGAACTTAGAGTCGAGACAGAGGAGCACTTTCCACATGTTTGGTGCTGTTGTAAGCTCCTTATAGACATATGCTCATCTAATGGTCACATGAGCACTAGGAGACTTCATTGTCCCATTAGACAGTTGAGATGGAAGCACAGAGGAATGACTTACCCAAGGTTTCAGAGCCTAAGTGACAGAGCCCTGACTCATCGCACCCCTTCAGAACAACTATGCAACACAGAAGCTTCAGACTGTCACTTAGGACTGGAGGGGAACAGCAGGGCAAATGGAACCTTCCATGTTAGGAGCACACAGAGGACAAACGAGCTCTGATGTGCACTTCAACCATGCCTCCAAGTCATCATTTGTTTCCCACTTGGTCTCATCTTCTCCTTTCTTGTGTTCTTTTTGTGTATGTGCAGATATTCATGCCCAGGAGAAGGCTGCTCTGCTGCGGAACTTTCCTAAAAGGGAGATCCCTATTCACTAGATGAATTCCAGAACCATCCACTAAGTCTTCTGTAGCCCTCTTCCATCAGCTGACCTTCACTGCAACTCCTATTACTCAAGATGAGTGGCTTCCTGGCCTCACTGGACCCCCGGCGGGTGCAGTGGGGGTCAGCCTGGTATGCCATGCACTCCAGGATCCTACGCACCAAACCAGTGGAGTCCATGCTGGAGGGAACGGGGGCCACTACAGCACATGGCACCAAGCTCGCCCAGGTGCTCACCACCATGGACCTTATCTCTCTTGGCGTTGGCAGCTGCGTGGGCACTGGCATGTATGTGGTGTCTGGCCTGGTAGCCAAGGAAATGGCGGGACCTGGTGTCATTGTGTCCTTCATCATTGCTGCCGTTGCATCTATATTATCAGGTAATTGTCTCAGGGAAGGAAAATGGATGGCGTGCTTGCTGAACTAGGTACTGCTCATCCCATTTTTCCAGCGTATTTGGTGATGAGATGTACTAATTGGCAGTGAACTGGCTCATTGTGGGTTTTTTTTTTTTTTTTTTTTTTGCCTTCACTGCAGGGGGATTGGAGCTAGGTTTTGACTCAGTTGTGTTGTAATATCTTCCTTTTTCTTTGTTTTTTCAATGCAAATAATTATTCTGGTGCCCAGATGTCTCCCAATTTCTCATTCTCTGTTATGTTCTGATGGCTCTATTTTTATTTCATCTCTCCCTCATATCTGAAGATAGGTAATCCTTTAGGGGGAGGGGCAAAGGATAAAAAATAATAACAAAGAATAGAGTAGCAAAATGATAAGTCAATAAATCTGACGTAATTAGGGTTCAATAAGCTTTAAACTGTCACTGTACCTCCCAAGAAGGAAGCCAAGCTAGGAGATTTAAAGTCACTGTGAGAATCACAAAATGCCATCTGCCACAACCACCTCAGCAGATTGATCATCTACAGAGGTTGAGCAACTAGCTCCTTCTCTTCCCTTTACAGTCACAAAACTCACTTTTAAAAAGAAGGTACCAGGACATATGTGTGCAAACCTCTTTCCAACTTTACAATCAGTGATTTTACATTGTTGACCTGAAACCAGCAATGGTGGGACTCTAATTTGTGGGACGACTCCCCTATTGCCTTCCCCGCTTCCCACCTCTTCTCTTGAGTAGCAATCCACAGTACCTTCCCCAAATATCCGAAGAAGGTCAATGGACAACTTGAAAAAGAAGGAAAAGGAATACTTCCTGCTTCTTGGTGTGATGTTGCAAAGGTAAAATGGTTTTTGTATGTAGCAGCTCTTATGGATCAACCCATGACAGGCAGTGAGCGTTTGGTCCCTTCAAATGTTGCAAAAGAAGTTGGGACCTAACTCCCACCAGGAGTTCAGTATACACCACTACAAGAAAAGCATGACACTGACACCATCCATCCAGGCTAGGTGGCCTTCATGCATGTAGGATACAAAGAGAGACCACAAACACACAACCTGAGAGTAGGCAGGTTCACATCAGACCCCTTTTTAATTTGATAAGAAAAAGGTCTGTCATGACTGATCTTCCTGTCAGTCTTACCACTGTCCCCTTTTCCTGAAGTCACTCTTTCATATGCATGAATATGCTAATAATTGAAGTTTCTGCAGAATGGAGGATTGTTCTCCTTTATAGATGAAAATAAATTATTCACATGAGTGAATTTGGTGGATACTTGAAATTTTAGTAACATGATCACAATTGTTTTCAAACACCTTTGATGAAGAAATTTATTCATCAGAAATCCATAGGTCTAAAATTATTATCAGAGATGATAGGGCAAAAGGCAGACACACACCTAGGAGGCAGATGCCTCAAGTTCTTCCCAGCTAATAAAGCCTACACAATTTTCTCTAAACCCCTATTTTTTAAATTTTTATTTATGTATTTATTTATAGTACTGGGGATTGAACCCAGGGGTGCTCAACCACTGAGCCACATCCCCAGCCCTTTTCCAAATTTTATTTACAGACAGGGTTTTACTGGATTGCTTAGAGCCTTGCTAAGTTTCTGAAGCTGGCTTTGAACTCACAATCCTACTGCCTTAACCTCCTAAACCGCTGGGATTACAGGCATGTGCCACTGTGCCAGGATCCCCGTACTATTTTGACTCAGACCCCAGACCACAATGATTCCTGGGAGAAAATCATGAATTATCCTTCACAGTGCTACAGAAACCAGAACCTGGTCGAGTTGCATCCCGGGAACCTGCCTCCTGCCTCAGCTCTCATAAGCACTATAGAATCTCGACTTTTGCACAGATGGGCACAGTGTTGTGCTGGAGCCAATTTGCACCAGCTGCCAAGATCCCTGGCTGTGCAAACCTCTTTCCAACTTTACAATCAGTGATTTTACAGTGTTGACCTGAAACAGCAATGGTGGGACTCTGTGTTTTTTGTCATTGTGTGGCTGTTTCTCAGGGGGTTAGTTGTTAAACATCGACCAGCACATCACGGGCCCAGCTCCACCACAGACCCTGGCACTTCCCAGGAACTGATGTCTTCACCACGACATCAAGCACCAGAGGGAAAAAAAAAAAAACCCTGCCTCTCCCCTTCGTCACACATGGCCCCATGAAGAACACGCCTCTGCACTTTGCAACTGACTCATCTCCCTGCTGGGGCCGGCCAGCATCCTCCTAGCCCCAGCCACGGCCAGGACCAAAATAACTCATGCCAACGTTAGCATATTGCCAGCAGTTTTCTTCAACCAGGGCTCTCACTCCTGAGATCTTGGGTCACTAAAGTCCCCCTCACCCCACTATCTTCTGTCCACTCCCATATCTTCATCCCCAGATTGCCTCCCCAGACCAGGTTCCCACTGCTTCTCATTCCACAATAGTCCATCTTCCCTTTATCTCCACCCTGTGGATACATGGCCATTTCCTCTTTCTGGCCTTTGTTAAAACCTGGCTCACCTGGAGGTAAGTCCAATCTCCACAGTGGTGTATTTATCTCTAGCAATAATTGCTAATTAGAATAACTAGATTTGGCTTTTTTGAGCCTAGGAAAAAAAGAGCAGTGGAATTAAGGGCATTTGGAAAGGAAAAGCAAACCATGCTGAACAACATAGTGTTGGCTGATCGAGGAGAAAAGTGAAAACATGAAAGCAATGATGATTCATGAATAGTGGTAGGATCGGTGGAAACTGGAGGTTTCAACGAGATCAGGAAATCATGGGAATATAAATACTGAGAAAGTGAGATGGGAGGCTAGAAAATGAGGTCAGAAGGGAATATTTAAAACATAGATTTTGAAATGGTTCAGTAATCAGGCTTGGAATCTGATTCAGTCAGCTTGAGCAAGTTTCATAACTTCTCTGAGCCTCAGTTTCTCCACTTTAAAAATAAAAATACATACTTCATAGAATCGATGTAAAAACTAAATTAGATGCCTAAAAATTGTCCATATATTGCCTAGCACATAGCACTGAATAAGCTATTATTATTATTATTATTATTATTATTATTATTATTATTATTATTTTGTGCCAAACCCTATGTTAGGTGCTCACCATATAGCACAATATTTCAAGGTAATTGTATTTTTTAGGTAAGCATATTAGTCTATTTCCATTGCTATAAAAAATACCAGAATCTGGGTAACATACAAATAACATATAGCTCCAACTCTGGAGAAGTGCCCCTTTGATTATAACATATCATAGCAGATGGCATCATGTGTGAAAAGGGGAGATCATTTACCTGCAAATGCCATGATTTTGTTCTCTTTTATTGCTAAGTAAAATTCCATTGTGTATATATGCCACATCTTTTTAATCCATTCATCCACTGAAGGGCATCTAGGTTGGCTCCACAGTTTAGCTATTGTGAATTGTACTGCCATAAACACTGATGTGGCTGTGTCCCTGTAGTATGCTGTTTTTAAGTCTTTTGGGTATAGACCAAGCAGAGGGACAGCTGGGTTAAATGGTGGTTCCATTCCCAGATTTCCAAGGAATCTCCATACTGCTTTCCATATTGGTTGCACCAATTTGCAGTCTCACCAGCTATGTATGAGTGTACCTTTTTCCCCACATCCTCGCCAACACTTATTGTTGTTTGTCTTCATAATAGCTGCCATTCTGACTGGAGTAAGATGATATCTTAGAGTAGTTTTGATTTGCATTTCTATAATTGCTAAAGATGATGAACATTTTTTCATATATTTGTTGATTGATGGATGGCATTGGAGAAGATAATGCTAAGTGAAGTTAGCCAATCCCCAAAAAACAAATGCCGAATGTTTTCTCTGATATAAGGAGGCTGACTCATAGTGGGGTAGGGAGGGTGAGCATAGGAGGAATAGATGAATTCTAGATAGGGGAAAGGAAGGGAGGGAATGGGAGGAGGCAGGGGATTAGCAAGGATGATGGAATGTGATGGACATCATTATCCAAAGTACATGTATGAAGACACAAATTGGTGTCAACATACTTTATATACAACCAGAGATATGAAAAATTGTGCTGTATTCGTGTAATAATAATTTTAATGCATTCCACTGTCATTTATTTCTTTAAATAAATAAATTAAATAATCTGAAAAAAAAGAAAAGGAAAGATCACATGGTGAGACAGAAAGTTAGAGACAGGAAAGGGGTCAGTTTTACTCTTCTAGGACAACTTACTTTCAAAGGTACTAGCCAGAATCCTACCAGAACCACCTTAATCCCTTTTGAGGGTAGCACCCTCAGTGACCCAAGCATCTCCCAATCAGCACTACCCCCTACACACACACACACAAAGGTCTCACCACCTCTTACAATACCACACTGGGGACCAAGCTACTAAAACATGAAAACTTTGGGGGACAAACCACATCCAAACAATAGATGTAGGTTTTATTATCTCCAAAATTACATATGTGAAAACCAAGGTTTAAATGACAGAGCCTGGGTACAAATCTGTTATGCCAAGAAAAACACTCAACCATGACTATTGATTTCAATCACTTGAGAGCTTTTCCTTTTTTCTGGAATAATGGATTTGGGAGTCAGTTTTATTGAGTTATAATTCCATATAGTAAAATTCACCTTTTTTTCATTTCTATGAATTTGAATGCACACATACCATCATATAACCTTCACTACAATCAAGGTACAGAAGAGTTCCACACACCCCAAATGTTCCATCAAGCTACCTCTATTTATCTCCTCCTCCTACCCCTAGCCCCTGACGACCACTCATCCTTTTTCTGACCCTACAATTTTGCCTTTTAAAGAATGCCATAGAAAGGGAATCATTTGGCATATCACCTTTTGAATCTTGGCTCTTTCACTTAGTAAGACATGCTGTTGGGATTCATTTATGTTGTCATGTGCATTCAAAGTTGGTTCCATCTTGTCACTAAGCCGTATCTCATTGTGTGAGAACACCACAGTTGGTTTA